TACGATTTCTTGAGTCATGTTGACGGCAGTGAAGGGACTTGAGCTAGAGTTCGTCACGGCCACGCTAGCTGGAGATTCGTCTGTAAAAACTTGCATTTGTGGTCACAGAGGTGCCTGTGCTAACTTTCCTATGGTGTAGAAATATACCTAGTTGGATGAATCTTATTGTGGCTAGCTGGTCTAGTGGCTAGCGCGACGGGCTGGAGTTTTGAGACTCTATGACCGCGGGTTCAATCCCGGCCGGGGGTATGGTTTCTTTTATAAAGAAAGTTCGTTTTGAAGTTTTCATAGAATTGACAAACTGGCACTTGCCAAACCCAAGTGCCGTAAAAAATATTACTTCCAGTTAAGATCCACCAACACCTGAGTGGTTGAAGCCGACCAGAAGAGTCATTCTCTAGCCAATTTGTTATTAAAATACTTAAGTCATTTACAAGAAGCAGTCATAACAGTCATAAATATATTTAACGTGTTTTAACGGCAACTAAAATTTCTTTATTTCCTACATAAAACTGACAGATGAGCATCTACAAACATGAACCTCTGTTCTGGACGACTCACGAGGCAACTTTTTTGAAGGCTGGAAGCTCCGCTACGGAAAGTTCTGCCAGGAATGTGAGCACTTCCAGGATACTGGAACCACAGTAGTAATACACTTCCAGGATGCTGGAACCACAATAGTAATGCACTTCCAGGATACTGGAACCACAGCAGTAATGCGCTTGCAAGATGCTGGAACCAAAATAGTTATGCACTTCCAGGATGCTGGAACCACAATAGTAATGCACTTCCAGGATGCTGGAACCACAGTAGTAATGCACTTTCAGGATGCTGGAACCACAATTGTAATGCACTTCCAAGATGCTGGAGCCACAATAGTAATGCACTTCCTGGATGCTGGAACCACAATAGTAACGCACTTCCAGGATCCTGGAACTACAATAGCAATTCACTTCCAGGATGCTGGAACCACAATAGCAATGCACTTCCAGGATGCTGGAGCCCCAATAGTAATTCACTTCCAGGATGCTGAAACTACAATAGTAATGCACTTCCAGGATGCTGGAACCACAGTAGTAATGCACTTCCAGGATGCTGGAACCACAATAGTAATGCACTTCCAGGATGCTGGAACCACAGCAGTAATGCGCTTCTAAGATGCTGGAACCACAATAGTAATGCACTTCCAGGATGTTGGAACCACAATAGTAATGCACTTCCAGGATGCTGAAACCACAATAGTTATGCACTTCCAGGATGCTGGAAACACAGTAGTAATGCACTTCCAGGATGCTGGAACCACAGTTGTAATGCACTTCCAAGATGCTGGAACCGCAATAGCAATGCACTTCCTGGATGCTGGAACCACAATAGTAATGCACTTCAAAGATGTTGGAACTGCAATAGTAATGCACTTCCAGGATGCTGGAACCACAATAGTAATGCACTTCCAGGATGCTGGAACTACAATAGCTATTCACTTCCAGGATGCTGGAACCACAATAGCAATGCACTTCCAGGATGCTGGAGCCACAATAGTAATGCACTTCCTGGATGCTGGAATTACAATAGTAATGCACTTCCGGGATACTGGAGCCGCAATAGTAATGCACTTCCAGGATGCTGGAACCACAGTAGTAATGCACTTCCAGGATGCTGGAACCCCAATAGTAATGCACTTCCAGGATGCTGGAACCACAATAGTAATGCTCTTCCAGGATGCTTGAACCACAAAAGCAATGCACTGCCAGGATGCTGGAGCCACAATAGTAATGCACTTCCAGGATGCTGGAACCATAATAATAATGCACTTCCAGGATGCTGGAACCACAATAGCAATGCACTTCCAGGATGCTGGAACTCCAATAGTAATGAACTTCCAGGATGCTGGAATTGCAATTGTAATGCACTTCCAGGATGCTGGAACCACAATAGCAATGCACTTTCAGGATGCTGGAGCCACAATGGTAATGCACTTCCATAATGCTGGAACCACAATAGTAATGCACTTCTAGGATGCTGGAACCACAATAGTAATGCACTTCCAGGATGCTGGAACCACAATAGTAATGCACTTCCAGGATGCTGGAACCACAATAATAATGCACTTCCAGGATGCTGGAACCACAATAGTAATCACTTCCAGGATGCTGGAACCACAATAGTAATGCACTTCCAGGATGCTGGAACGACAATAATAATGCACTTCCAGGATGCTGGAACCACAATAGTAATACACTTCCAGGATGCTGGAACGACAATAATAATGCACTTCCAGGATGCTGGAACCACAATAGTAATGCACTTCCAGGATGCTGGAACGACAATAATAATGCACTTCCAGGATGCTGGAACCACAATAGTAATGCACTTCCAGGATGCTGGAACCACAATAGTAATGCACTTCCAGGATGCTGGAACCACAATAGTAATGCACTTCCAGGATGCTGGAACCACAATAGTAATGCACTTCCAGGATGCTGGAACCACAATAGTAATGCACTTCCAGGATGCTGGAACCACAATAGTAATGCACTTCCAGGATGCTGGAACCACAATAGTAATGCACTTCCAGGATGCTGGAACCACAATAGTAATACACTTCCAGGATGCTGGAACGACAATAATAATGCACTTCCAGGATGCTGGAACCACAATAGTAATGCACTTCCAGGATGCTGGAACGACAATAATAATGCACTTCCAGGATGCTGGAACCACAATAGTAATGCACTTCCAGGATGCTGGAACCACAATAGTAATGCACTTCCAGGATGCTGGAACCACAATAGTAATGCACTTCCAGGATGCTGGAACCACAATAGTAATGCACTTCCAGGATGCTGGAACCACAATAGTAATGCACTTCCAGGATGCTGGAACCACAATAGTAATGCACTTCCAGATGCTGGAACCACAATAGTAATGCACTTCCAGGATGCTGGAACCACAATAGTAATGCACTTCCAGGATGCTGGAACCACAATAGTAATGCACTTCCAGGAACTCAGTGACAAAATTCATTCTCCAGAAACTGATCTGACTTTATGATTCCAATTTTTTATTAATAATTTCAGTAAAATTATAAATTATCAAGTCTACGGAATAATCTTAAGCGGAATTATCCAGCTTATGGAACGTAGCGTTGTTAATATTTTGAAACAGATCATTGTCACTGTTAATAACACTAGAAAATGATACTTATGAAGTCCAATAACAAGGCCAACCTTGCGCTCTGGAACAAACCTTCTTACCACTAAAAATTTCAATCCAGTCTGAAGAGGCATTCTCCAGTAATCCCACGGAATACAGATATTCAGTTTTTCTTTCATTATTTCACAACTTTAATTTTTTTCCCAAACTCAAACGAAATTTCATTAGGTAATTAAATGTTTTAATGAAGAAGTAAAAATTCTGGCGACACCTTAATTAACAGAGCCATTTCTGGAATACATAATAATAATAATAATAATAATAATAATAATAATAATAATAATATTATTATTATTTATTATTAATAAAAAAAATAATAATAATAATTATAACTATAATAATAATTATAATTATAACTATGATAATTATAATAATAACAATAATAATAAATGTAACAATGTTAATAATAATAGTAATAATAATAATAAGAATAAATATACAATAATAATAATAATAATAATAATAATAGTAATAATAATAATAATAATAATATACATAATAGTAATAATGCTAATATTTATAGTAACAATAAAGATAATAAATGCTGTAATAATAATAATAATAATAATAATAATAATAATAATAATAATAATAAAATAATAATAATAATCAAATAATTTAATAGTAGTAGTAAAATAATAATAATAATAATAATAATAATAAATAATAATAATAAAATAATAATAATAATAATAATAATACTTAGGAACGTAGTGGCACTTACCTGGTTCTGTGTGAGGCTGCCCACCACAATAATAACAAGAGTATAGTGGCACTTACCTGGTTCTGGGTGAGGCTGCCCACCACAATAATAACAAGAGTATAGTGGCACTTACCTGGTTCTGGGTGAGGCTGCCCACCACAATAACAACAAGAGTATAGTGGTACTTACCTGGTTCTGGGTGAGGCTGCCCACCACAATAATAACAAGAGTATAGTGGCACTTACCTGGTTCTGTGTGAGGCTGCCCACCACAATAATAACAAGAGTATAGTGGCACTTACCTGGTTCTGTGTGAGGCTGCCACCACAATAATAACAAGAGTATAGTGGCACTTACCTGGTTCTGTGTGAGGCTGCCCACCACAATAATAACAAGAGTATAGTGGCACTTACCTGGTTCTGTGTGAGGCTGCCCACCACAATAATAACAAGAGTATAGTGGCACTTACCTGGTTCTGTGTGAGGCTGCCCACCACAATAATAACAAGAGTATAGTGGCACTTACCTGGTTCTGTGTGAGGCTGCCCACCACAATAATAACAAGAGTATAGTGGCACTTACCTGGTTCTGTGTGAGGCTGCCCACCACAATAATAACAAGAGTATAGTGGCACTTACCTGGTTCTGTGTGAGGCTGCCCCACCACAATAACAACAAGAGTATAGTGGCACTTACCTGGTTCTGTGTGAGGCTGCCCACCACAATAATAACAAGAGTATAGTGGTACTTACCTGGTTCTGTGTGAGGCTGCCCACCACAATAATAACAAGAGTATAGTGGCACTTACCTGGTTCTGTGTGAGGCTGCCCACCACAATAACAACAAGAGTATAGTGGCACTTACCTGGTTCTGTGTGAGGCTGCCCACCACAATAACAACAAGAGTATAGTGGTACTTACCTGGTTCTGTGTGAGGCTGCCACCACAATAACAACAAGAGTATAGTGGCACTTACCTGGTTCTGTGTGAGGCTGCCCACCACAATAACAACAAGAGTATAGTGGCACTTACCTGGTTCTGTGTGAGGCTGCCCACCACAATAACAACAAGAGTATAGTGGTACTTACCTGGTTCTGTGTGAGGCTGCCCACCACAATGGGAACGATGACTGAGACAACGTTGGCACAAGTGTTGCTGAGACCAGTCAGTGTACCTGGAGGAGACAACAATCACTGTACTTAAGCTGGGGAGTAGTGTACACAAGCTGGGGAGCACTGTACTCAAGCTGGGGAGTAGTGTACTTAAGCTGGGGAGTAGTGTACTCTAGCAGGGTATACTACTTATAGTATACTACTTCAAGCTGGGAAGTAGTATACTCAAACTGGGAAGTAGTATACTCAAGCTGGGAAGTTGTTATTCAGGGTTCTGCATGACATTGTAATGTACATATAGTGGAGAAGTGTGCCATAATTGAATGAATGTTATAATTGTAAAGAATAATTTTATAATTCATAATGTGCATTTGGGGGCACTGTAAAGTACTCTAACTGTAATTATAATGAAATCCTGCTAGGTATTTATTTTCCAACTGTGTTTGGGCACGCGGGGTAAGAGTGGCTGGGAGGAGTCACGTGGAGTCAGCATGGTGTGGAGGCTGGCGTCGGAGATGCTGTGTATTTAAGAAAATAAGAACATAAGAACATTAAAAAGAAGGAACACTGCAACAGGCCTACTGACCCATGCGGAGCAGGTCCATGTTCCCCCCCGGATTAGGCCAATGACCCACCCAGCCTGGTCATCTCCACTCAAGGATGGAGCACTGCACCAGATCCAGCAGCACAAGTTAGTCAGGTCCAACTCACACTGACCCACACTCACTCATGTATTTATCTAACCTATTTTTAAAACTACACAACGTTTTAGCCTGAATAACTGTACTCGGGAGTTTGCTCCACTCATCCACAACTCTGTTACCAAACCAGTGCTTTCCTATATTCTTCCTGAATCTGAATTTTTCCAACTTGAAACCATTGCTGCGAGTCCTGTCTTGGCTGGAAATTTTCAGCATGCTATTTACATCCCCTTTATTTATTCCTGTTTTCCATTTATACACCTCGATCATATTCCCCTAATTCTACGCCTTTCGAGAGAGTGCAGATTCAGGGCCTCAGTCTATCCTCATAGGGAAGATTTCTGATACATGGGATCATCTTTGTCATCCTCCTCTATACGTTTTCCAGAGCATTTATATCCATTCTGTAATACGGTGACCAGAACTGAGCAGCATAGTCTAAATGAGGCCTAACCAAGGATATATAGAGTTGAAGAACAACCTGAGGACTTCTATTATTTATACTTCTAGATATGAAGCCAAGAATACTGTTAGCTTTATTGTGAACACTAATGCACTGTTGTCTTGGTTTTAGATTACTGCTAACCAGAACTCCTAAATCCTTTTCGCAATCAGTAGTATTAAGATCTACATTATTTAGTTTATATGTGGCATGATTATTCAACTTAAATAACAAAAACATAAAGTGGGACCAAGTAAACCAAGTCCTAACCGATATAAGCTGGGAAGATATACTAAGCAACACAGACCCAAACTTATGCCTAGAACAGATTAACTCGGTGGCACTCGATGTATGCACAAGGCTTATTCCTCTAAGAAAAAGGAGGAGTAGATGTAAAATAGAAAGAGACAGGCGCTCCCTTTACAGGCGACGGAAAAGAATAACAGAGCGGCTAAAAGAGGTCAATATATCAGAAATGCGCAGGGAGACACTGGTCAGAGAAATAGCAAGCATCGAACTTAAGCTAAAAGAATCCTTTAGGATCAGGAATCGCGGGAAGAACTAAAAGCCATAAATGAAATCGAAAGAAACCCAAAGTATTTCTTCTCCTATGCCAAATCAAAATCGAGAACAACGTCCAGTATTGGGCCCCTACTTAAACAAGATGGGTCCTACACAGATGACAGCAAGGAAATGAGTGAGCTACTCAAGTCCCAATATGACTCATTTTTAGCAAGCCGCTAACCAGACTGAGAGTCGAAGATCAAAATGAATTTTTTTATGAGAGAGCCACAAAATTTGATTAACACAAGCCTATCCGATGTTATCCTGACGCCAAATGACTTCGAACAGGCGATAAATGACATGCCCATGCACTCTGCCCCAGGCCAGACTCATGGAACTCTGTGTTCATCAAGAACTGCAAGAAGCCCCTATCACGAGCCTTTTCCATCCTATGGAGAGGGAGCATGGACACGGGGGTCGTCCCTCAGTTAACTAAAAACAACAGACATAGCCCCACTCCACAAAGGGGGCAGTAAAGCAACAGCAAGAACTACAGACCAATAGCACTAACATCCCATATCATAAAAATCTTTGAAAGGGTCCTAAGAAGCAAGATCACCACCCATCTAGAAACCATCAGTTACACAACCCAGGCAACATGGGTTTAGAACAGGTCGCTCCTGTCTGTCTCAACTACTGGATCACTACGACAAGGTCCTAAATGCACTAGAAGACAAAAAGATGCATGAGTAATATAACAGACTTGCAAAAGCCTTCGACAAGTGTGACCAATGGCGTAATAGCGCAACAAAATGGCGCGCTAAAGAATAACAGGATAAGTTGGTCGATGGATCTATAATTTTCCTACTAACAGAACACAGAGAGTATCGCAACAGAGTAAAGCCGAGGCAGCTACGGTGACAAGCTCTGTTTCCCACAAGGCACAGTACTAGCTCCCATCTAGTTCCTCATCCTCATATCCGACAGTAAAGACAGGAAGTCACCACAGCACCGTGTCGTCCTTTGCAGATACACCGAACTGCATGACAGTGTCTTTCCATTGCGACCCTGCAAGGCTCCAGGCGGACATCAACCAATTCTTTCAGGGGCTGCAGAAAACAATATGAGTTCAACGATGAGAAATTTCAATTACCAGATATGGTAAACATGAAAATTAAATCATTCATCAAGTACAAAACTAATTCTGGCCCACAAAATAGAGCGAAACACCAACGCAAAGACCTGGGAGTGATTATGTCGGAGGATCTCACCTCAAGGACCATAACATGTACAATCGCATCTGCTAGAAAAATGACAGGATGGATAATGAGAACCTTCAAAACTAGGAGGCCAAGCCCATGATGGACACTCTTCAGTCACTTGTTCTATCTAGGCTGGAATATTGCACTGCACTCTAACAGCACCTTCAAGGCAGGTGAAATTGCTACCTAGAAAATGTACAGAGAACTTTCCAACGGCGCGCATAACCCCCCGGGAAAAAAAGGATTTAAAACACCTCAATTACTGGGGGGAGCGCTGAGGTTTCTAAACCTGTCTTCCCTGGAACGCAGGAGGGAGAGATAACATGATTATATACAACCTGGAAAATCCTAGAGGGACTAGTACCGAACTTTGCCACGAAAATCACTCACTACGAAAGCAAAAGACTTTGGCAGACTATGCACCATTCCCCCCAATGAAAAGCAGGGTGTCACTAGCACTTAAGAACCATACATAAGTTTCAGGGGACCGAGACTGTTTTCAACTGCCTCCCAGCACACATAAGGGGGATTACCAACAGACCCCTGGCAGTCTTCAAGCTGGCACTGGACAAGCACCTAAAGTCAGTTCCTATCAGCCGGGCAGTGGCTCGTACTTTGGTTTGCGTGCAGCCAGCAGCAACAGCCTGGTTGATCAGGCGCTGATCCACCAGGAGGCCTGGTCACAGACCGGGCCGCGGGGGCGTTGACCCCCGAAACTCTCTCCAGGTAAACTCCAGGTAACTGTCCAACATTTAGAACTTTGCATTTGTCAATATTAAACTGCATCTGCCACTTCTCCGACCATTGCATCAGTCTATTCAAATCATCCTTAAGCTAAGTTTAGGTACGCAGGGTAAGCGTGGCTTGGGGCAGTCACCTGGAGTCAGCATGGCTTGGAGGCTGGCGTCGGAGATGCTGTGTATTTAAGCAAAGTTGAAGTTTGTGTAACTCCTTTTTTTTCGCAAAACTCAAGCCATAGGCTCTCTATAGCTTACCTGTATGCTCACCTAGGCTCTGACATGGTCAGGGTGCTGAGGGATGAGTGACGAAATAAGAAATGGGGTTGGTATTGGAGTAGTGACGACCTGGCGCTGACTAGGCCGAGTGTTATGGTTACTGGACTGCCAACCAGCTGTTTCTTGTGTACCGTCATTTGGGCGTTTAGGATAGAAAATAGATGGTGTTTCTAGAGTGTGTATATAGTGTTATGTTGAATAAATAGATATATTTTCCGAACTAGGATTTTTGCCTAACCCTCTGTTAACCAACCCATTGAAGTAACACATACTGGTTTAGCGCTTTCTGTTTTGACTAGGAATAGGCCCTGGGTGGCCTGTTTATGCTTGAGATATGTGTAACTTTTACCTTTGCCCTTAGACAAGGCTCTAGATCCCAGGTATCCCACCTTTCTGCGTAACAAGAGTGTACTGAAGCTGGGGAGTAGTGTACTTAAGCTGTCGGAGACAACCACGACTGTAGTCAAGCTTGGGAGTAATATACTCAAGCAGGGGACAGAACAGTACTCAAGCTTGGGAGAAGTATTGCACTCAAGCTGGGGGAAAGTGATGTACTCCAGCTGGCAGAGACAACCACGACTCTGCTCAAGCTGGGGAGGAGTATTGTGCTCAAACTGGGGAGAGTACTGTATTTCAGCTGGAGGAGACAACCACGACTGTTTCTCAAGCTGGGTAGTAGAGTACTCTACCTGGGGAGGAGTACAGTACTCAAGCTGTGGGAGAGTACTGTACTCAAGCTACCGGAGAGAACTTCGGGTGTACTCAAGCTGGGTAATATAAATACTATACTAACCTGGACAAGATGACAACTGTACAGAAGCTGACGGAGGTTAATACTGTACTCAAGCTGTGGGAGATGAATGCTGTACTCAAGCTGTGGGAGATGAACACTGTAATCAAGCTGTGGGAGATGAATACTGTACTCAAGCTGTGGGAGGTGAATACTGTACTCAAGCTATAAGAGATGAATACTGTACTCAAGCTGTGGGAGATGAATACTGTACTCAAGCTGTGGGAGATGAATACTGTACTCAAGCTGTGGGAGATGAATACTGTACTCAAGCTGTGGGAGATGAATACTGTACTCAAGCTGTGGGAGATGAATACTGTACTCAAGCTGTGAGAGATGAATACTGT